CAACCAACCTCCTGATTGCCATTGACCTGAGGCCCAAAAGCAATGCCGGGTTACAGGCAGGGCTACCAAAAAACTGACCAGCTGCCCTGCGTGACCCCTAGAAGTCCCCCATCCCCCGACTCGGGCACCTTTGCCAGGCACAGCCAGGAAGCCCGTCCGGGCCAACAGACCGTGTGGCTGCCCATAACCTCACTCTGAGACGGTCAGGATGCCAGCTGGTAGGTCCCAGCCCCCCCGACCCTGCCCCCTGCCAGAGAGGCTCCTGGGCTGGAGCTCACCTTGCCGTCGTAGTACTTCTCGCGCTTGTCCGTCAGGATGGAGCGGATCACGTTGCCAGCGTATTCGATGACCATCTCTCCTGCATCGATGTTCCTTTTGCAGAACAAGCCCCGGCCGTGGATGGGGGACCTAGCGAGAGAGAGAGAGAGAGAGAGAACATGCACGGGATACTAGGGGTGTGCAAAAAAAAAAAATTCGGAAAAATTCAGATTCGGGTTTACTAGACCCGAATTTTTTCGGGAAACCCGAAAAAACCCGAATATCTATATCGGTAAAGCATAGATATCCGAATTTTTTCGGGAAACCCGAAAAATTCGGGTCCATTATAACCAATGGGGCCATTGAAGTCAATGGCAAAAATCCTCTTGAAACTTTGTGGGGGGCTGGGGGGGAGGGGGTTTGGGGTAGAGGCTCCAAACTTGGAGCGTGCTTACTGGAACCTCTCCCCAACATACCCACCAAGTTTCAAGACGATTGGACCAGGGGGTACAATTTTATGGGCCCCCAAACAGGTTGCCCCCAGATCAGCTTGCTGCAGTTTATTCGCGGTTTTGCGCCGAAATTCGGCGGCAATTCGGCAACATTGTATCCTATGGACCTTGGAGTGGGTAAGCTCGAAACTTGGAGGGTGGTTACTAGAACCTCTCCCCTACATACCCACCAAGTTTCATGAAGATTGGACCAGGGGGTCCAATTCTATGGGCCCCCAAACAGGTTGCCCCCACCCCATTGTTCTCTATGGTGGGAACAAAATTACTTTTTTTCCCACCATAGAGAATAATGGAGGGATTACTTTTTTTCCCACCATAGAGAACAATGGAGGGATGGGGGCAAACTGTTTTGGACAGCATGTTTGCAAACTTTTGCCAGACCAGCCAGCCCCAGCCACACTGCAGCAGAGAAGAACCATACAAGTGCCCCCCCACAACCTGTGCCGCCAAACTGGGTGCCCAAAACCCCAAAACCAACACAACTTGGCTCAAACCAAAGAATCTCTCTACAGCAGCAGCACTGAGGTAGCATGTCTGTGCATTACCAATGCCAGACAGACAGGCCCAGCAGCAGGACCAGAGCAATCTGCCCCCCCCACAACCTGTGCCAAGGTGCAACCAATCAGTGCCCAGACCAACTTGGTGCAAACCAGAGAATTTCTGCAGACAGCAGCAGCAGCCCACAGAATGAGGGAGCAAGCAAGTGCATGCCAGCCAGGCCCCAGCATTGCAACAGAAGAACAAGAGCAATCTGCCACCTGTGCCAGGCCAGCCAGGTTGCCATGCCAGTCAGTGCCCCAAAACCAGAACTAGGTCAAACCAGAGAATCTCTCCAGACTGCACTGGAGCGGCAGCACACAGGCTGAGGGAGCATGTATGTGCATCGCCAATGCCAATGCCAGCCAGCCAGGCCCAGCAGCAGAACCAGTCCACCTCAAGTGTGCCAATGTGCCAGTGCCCAAAAAACCCCAAAAGCAAAACAATCTCTCCCCTCTGCAGTGGCAGTGGCCTACATATGGGAGCATGTTTGCTAATGGCAGCCATGCCCAGCTGCAAAACCAGAGCAATCTCAACCCCCCCTCCCAACAACCTCTGTGCCAGTCACCCAACTTACTGGACTCAGTCCAAACCTGAGGATTTCTGCAGTATAAATGAAGGGGGGGGGCAGGCAGGGCCTGTGCAAGTGACGTGAGCAATCACTAGGGGTGTGCGTGCGAATCCCCATTCAGCGCACCTGAAGAGAGGCAAAGGGAGGCCAAAGGAACCCAAATTACACCAAATCAGAGTGGCCGCCAACTCTCCAGGGGGTGCCCAAAGATTGAGATATGATGATTCCCAGGTTGGGGAATCATCCAGAGGGGTCCCACCATATGCTACCTCTAGGAAGATGTTGGCTTGTGATTGTGAATCCAGTGAGTGGGTGGCAGCGACTACGGAAGTAAGATAGCCCCACCCCCACCAGGCAGGGGCAGGCAGGCAAAAACTTCCCGAGCCACACAGTGGCTGGCTTGTGTGGGTCCCCCCGCCCCGTTCCCAGCAGTGCAGGAGAGTCACACAGAGACGTCTCCCTTACAACCCCAGAGGCCCCTCCTCCATGCCCAGAAGCGCTTGTTGCCTAGCCTGCTCTGGAAATCCAAAGGTGGGCTGCCCAGAGGCTGAAAAGGAGTTGGGAACTTGGGAGTCGGGCTTGGTCCCCTGTTCAGGGCAGGGGACAGCAGCAGAACCTGTGCACTGCACGCCCCTCCCCCAACCACACCCAGCCCGCCTGCTCCATGGCCAGGAGAGACTGTAAGGAGAGATGACTACTAGTCCGCTCCACTTTGGAAATCCGCCGACCTACCTGTAGACACCAACGGCTTCCTTGGAGGTCTTCTTCAGGTGCCGGAACCGCATGGGCATCGGCAGGTCCATGCTGGTGGCCCTCCTGGGGAACGAGAGGCAGCTGCAGAGGCGGCTCCTCCTCCGCCCGGGCAGTGGAGAGGACCCCGCGCCCTCCCTGCTCCCGGCTGAGCAAGCCCCGTGCCGCCGGAGCCCCGCCAGCCTTTGCTCTCTCCACACACCGCTCGGCCGCGCGGACTGACGAGGGGCTGCCCCAGAAGTCAGCTGGAGGAGTTCTGTTCTCCGGGCCTCCTGGCACGACCTAAGGGCACGACTCCCAGGCCTCCCCCACCCCACCCCCCGGCGCGCCTCCGCACCCCACTCTGTACCGGGCAGACTTCAGCTGCACCTCCTCCTCCTCCTCCTCATTGGGGTTGTAGTCTGGCGGCTGGCGGTGCTTGGAAGCCAGGAAATTGAACATGTCAAAGGCAGACTTCCTGGAGGCCAGGAGAGAGCAGCAGGATCAGGGCACCCAGCTCCCCCCAGGGTCCCCAAGATCCTCCTGGGCAACGTTCCAGGGCCCCGGCTCTGTCTAAAGGCCTTCCGCCCCACTGCCTGGGACGGCTGACCCCCAGGCCCACGAGGAGTCTGGGCACTCTCTCTCTCTCTCTCTCTCTCTCTCGGGAGGGGGCGGGGCTGGGCGGCCACTCTGAAGCCTCCACTTGCCTTCGGTGCACCTCTGCCCTGGCGCAGCCGTGGGGGTTGACGGGGGGCTCCTTCGCCTCCTCTGGCTTGTGGAACCGGAACTTGTAGTTGTGGCAGTGCTTCGCCCCAGAGAGCTGCTCGACCAGGAAGACGACGGCATCGTGGAGGAGGCCCAGCATCCGCAGTCCGCTCACACCTGCAAGGGGGGACACACAGCGGGTGCCAATGTGGGACGACTGGCAGCCCAGGCTGAGCCGGAGGCACGCACGCCCTTCGACCCCCGGCCTGGGTGGCCAGGGGTCGGGGGGGTGGAGAGCAGTGCCCAGCCTCGGTGTCACTGGAGCTCTGGCACAAAGCGGCCCGTCCGTGGAGGGGCTCAGAACGGCCCGGCCTCTGCCAAACACCAGTCCCTCCCTGCCCTGGGAAGGCGCACGGGATGTGCCAAGAGGTGCTGAGGACCTCGGCCCCGACTTTGACGTGCCGCCCTCCTCCGGGGAGCACCACCAGCTTCATGGCAGAGCGAGACAAGGAAACGAAAGGATCGGAGCCTTTGGGGAGGGTGACGCGCCCCGCCCCCGCTGCTGCCACCGCCGCCCCTCCTACCTACCTACCTGTGAAAGAGAGCTGCTTCAGGCGGGCGTTGGAGCGGGCCTCCTGGACCTTGTCAGTCAAAGACTTCCAGGCATCTAAGGTTGAAGAGGAGGAGGAGGAGGAGGAGGAGAACCAGGGATGATATGGTGGGCAGTGGCTCCCCGTTCTCTCCTCTCTCAACCTGAAAGCTGCCCAGAGGTATGACTGGCCCACCCGCTGGCTGGGGCCTTCTGCAGATGGAGGGGCCGGGGGGGGGGGGAGTCACAAGATGATGGCACTCGCTGCTGGAAAAAAAACGCACCCCCCCCCCCCCCGCCCCCGATTCCCACCTTCAATACTTTCGGAGCTGATCTGAAAGCCATCGTCACTCGAGATCTCAAAAACCAGCCCTTTCTTTGGCTTCCTCTCAGCAAGGCTCTCCTTCCTCCTCCGCTCCTGCTGCAGCCAGAAGATGAGAGGAGAGCTGAAGGTGCCCTCCTCCTCCTCTTCTTCCTCCTCCTCCTCCTCAGCTGCTTTGGCATCTGGAAGACAAACAGGCCCCTCTGCCTTCAGCCGTGGTGCCAAAGAGCTCCATCTACACCACCGTGGGCGGAGATCCAACTCGGGCAGGGCTGAAGGTCACACACACACACACCCACTCAGTCAGGAAGCTCACGGGAGGACCTCAGGCAAGCCTCTCTTCTCCGCAGCATACACCTTGTAGGTCTGTTGTGAGAAAACAGCAGAGCCAAGGGGATCCGGGGACACGGTCCCAGTCTCCTTGGAGACGGTGGCAGAGGCTGTGCACGTACCTCTCTCATGCACGAAGCTGCCTGAGGATTCCTGGGAGTTTGATGATGCTCCACGGCTGGGCCAAGTGCTATGTGCCCTTCCCGAGAGCAACAGCCCTGGCCTGAGAACCGGCCCGCTTGCCCCTTTTACTTACAGAAGACAGTTTTATGCTGCCTTCCCACCTAGTCAGCGGCCACAAGGCGGCCAATGTTTAAACAATTACAAATGCAGTTATATTACAAAATCCCATTAAAAACGCATAAACACACCACAGTAGAAAAAGGGACAGCACCATTCTTAGGTGTTGCCAAATGAACCGAAAAGATCTTCACCTGCTGCTGGTGAAAGACTCCACAAGAGGGAGACACATGAATGTTCCCAGGGAGGGAGGGAGTTCCAGATTTCTGGTACCCTGACAGAGAAGGCCCCTGTCTTGGGTTGCCGCCTGTCTAGCCCCAAAGAGCAGCTGAGGCTGGCGGTGTGACTGAGAGAGCACGGAGTGTCACCTGCATATTGGCGGCAGCTCAGCCCACACCTCTGGATGACCTCTCCCAGCCAGCAGCTTTAGGTAGCTGTTGAAAAGCACGGGGGACAAGACAGAACTCTGGGGGACCCCCAAGGCCAAGGGGTGGAGCAGTGGCCTCCCGGCCCCACCCTCGGAAACCCACCCTCGAGGCAGGACCGGAACCACTGCAGAACAGTGCCTCCCAGCCCCAGCCGGCTGGGGATAGTCAGGAGGAAGGGGGGGGGGGAGACACACCTGCATTGTCCAGCTCACTGGCGGCGTTCTGTGCTGGCTGTGGCTCTGGGAGAGACGATGCCGTCTGCCTGTGGAAAGAAGGCCAGGGAGGAAGGGAGAGCATGAAGGAGCCACTCTTCTTTTGATCTCTGGGTCCTCTGCAGAGGCCAAAGCTACAAAGGGAGGCCAGACTGTGGAGAAAAGTCAGCAGGGGAGAAGGCTGCAACTGTAACGCCTGGTGATCAGCAGGCTTTCCGGACAGGGGCCACAGCTGCCCGACCTCCTCAAAGGCCCCAAACGGGCAGGGCGGTGGTGGTGGTGGGGGCTCCAAGGCAGGGGTGTTCACGCAAAAGAGCATAAGAACATAAGAGATGCCAATGTTGGATCAGGCCAAAGGCCCATCCAGTCCAACACTCTGTGTCACACAGTGGCCAGAAATACCAGGGGCCACCATGAGGTCCACCATTGGGGCCAGGACACCGGAAGCCCTCCCACTGTTGACCCCCCCCAAGCACCAAGAAGACAAAGCATCACTTGCACCAGAGTCCCTATCTATACCTTGTGGCTAATAGTATCTAATTCCCTTTTGAATCCGTCCATGCTTGTAGCCGCCACCACTTCCTGTGGCAGTGAATTCCATGTGTTAATCACTCTTTGGGTGAAGAAGTACTTCCTTTTATCCGTTCTAACCCGACCGCTCTGCAGTTTCATGGAGTGCCCACGAGTTCTTGTATTGTGAGAAAGGGAGAAAAGTACCTCTTTCTCTACCTGCTCTTTCCCATGCATAATCTTATAAACCTCAATCATGTCACCCCTCAGTCATCGTTTCTCCAAGCTAAAGAGCCCTAAGCGCCTTAACCGTTCCTCATAGGGAAAGTGTTCCAACCCTTTTATCATTCGAGTTGCCCTTTTCTGCACTTTTTCCAAAGCTATAATATCCTTTTTAAGGTGTGGTGACCAGAACTGCACACAGTATTCCAAATGAGGTCTCACCATTGATTTATATAGGGGCATTATTATATTGGCTGATCTGTTTTCAATACCCTTCCTAATAATCCCCAGCATAGCATTGGCCTTCTTTATTGCAGTCACACACTGTCTCGACATTTTCAGTGAGTTATCCACTACAACTCCAAGATCTCTCTCTTGATCAGTCTCTGCCAGTTCAGACCCCATCAACGTGTATTTATAGTTAGGATTTTTGGCTCCAATGTGCATCACCTTGCACTTGGCCACATTGAACCCCATTTGCCATGTTGACGCCCACTCGCCCATCCTTGACAGATCCCCTTGGAGTGCCTCACAATCCTCACTGGTTTTCACCACCCTGAACAACTTTGTATCATCCGCAAATTTAGCCACTTCACTGCTTACTCCCATCTCCAAATCATTAATGAACAAGTTAAAAAGCAGTGGACCAAGTACTGATCCCTGCGGTACCCCACTGCTTACCACCCTCCACTGAGAAAATTGCCCACCTACACTCACTCTCTGTTTTCTATGAACTAGCCAGTTTTTGATCCATAAAAGGACTTGTCCTTCTATCCCATGATTTTTGAGCTTACTTAGGAGCCTTTGATGAGGAACTTTATCAAAAGCTTTCTGGAAGTCAAGGTAAATAATATCTATTGGATCCCCCTTGTCCACATGTTTGTTCACCCCCTCAAAGAACACTAACAGGTTAGTGAGACAAGATCTTCCCTTACAGAAACCGTGCTGAGTCTGCCTCAATAGGTTTTGTTCATCTATGTGCCTACTAATTCTTTCCTTAATAATGGTTTCCACCAATTTACCCGGTATCGACGTCAGACTGACTGGCCTGTAATTTCCCGGATCTCCTCTGGAACCCTTTTTAAAGATGGGAGTGACATTAGCTACCTTCCAATCCTCAGGAATGGAGGCAGATTTTAAGGAAAGATTACATATCTTTGTCAGGAGATCTACAAGTTCACATTTGAGTTCTTTCAGAACTCTCGGATGTATGCCATCTGGGCCTGGTGATTTTTCAGTTTTTAAGTTGTCTATCAGTTTTAGGACCTCCTCTCTCATCACCTCAATCTGACTCAGGTCTTCCAACACCCCTCCTGAAATCAGTGGTTCTGGAGTGGGCAAGCACTTCTCATCTTCCACAGTGAAGACGGAGGCAAAAAATGCATTTAGCTTCTCAGCCATTTCCCTATCATCCTTCAATACTCCTTTTACCCCTTGGTCGTCCAAGGGCCCCACTGCCTCCCTGGCTGGTTTCCTGTTTCTAATGTATTTGAAGAAAGTTTTATTGTTGGTTTTTACGTTTTTTGCTATATGCTCCTCATATTCCCTTTTTGCCTGCCTGACCTCAGACTTGCATTTTATTTGCCATAGCCTGTGTTCCGTTTTATCAGCCTCACTGTGACTAGCTTTCCACTGCTTAAAGGAATTCTTTTTACTTTTTACAGCCTCCATTACTCTGTTTGTTAACCATGCAGGCTTTTTCCTATACCTGTTTGTGCCTTTCCTAACCTGCGGAATATATATTTTTTGAGCTTCTAGGATCGTAGTTTTAAATAGATCCCAAGCTTCCCCAATTGTTTTGACCCTTTCTACTTTTCCTTTCAGTTTCCTCCCCACGTGTCCCCTCATATCAGAGAAATTACCCCTTTTAAAGTTAAAAATGGTTGTGTGAGTCTTTTTGGCCAATTCTCTATTTGTACAAATGATGAACTCAACAACATTATGATCACTGTTTCCAAGCGGTGCAATCACTTTTACATCTCTCACCAGGTCTTGAGTGTTACTTAGGACCAAATCAAGGATCGCCTCTCCCCTGGTAGGTTCCGTGACCATCTGCTCCATAGCACAGTCATTTAGAGTGTCTAGAAACTCAATCTCTTTTTCCCGACTAGAACACATATTGACCCAATCAATGTGTGGGTAGTTAAAATCACCTATTATTACACAGTGTTTTTGTCTAGTTGCTATCTTTAAGGCATTCATCATTTTATAATCCTCCTCTATCTTTTGATCTGGTGGGCGATAACAAACTCCCAGTGTTAAGTTTCCTTTTGGCCCCCCTATTTCAACCCATAGAACTTCCAGAAGCGAATCCAATTCACTTAGCCTCTCAATCTTTCTAGACTTTATACCCTCTCTGACATACAGAGCTACCCCACCTCCAACCCTTCCCCCCCTATCCTTCCGATATAATATATAACCGGGAATCACTGTGTCCCACTGATTTTCCTCATCCCACCAAGTTTCAGAAATACCCACAATGTCTATTTTTCCCTCCGACACCAAGCACTCCAACTCCCCGATTTTACCTCGGACACTTCTAGCATTTGTATAGAAACAGCTGTAATTTCCCTTACAAGTTAAGCCTGCATCCTTCCTCTTGCTATCTCGAGTCGTTGTCCGGCAGTCCATGTCACCAGCCATGGCCTCTGTGGACAATTTCAATCCACCTCCCTGTAGAAAAGCAACCGGTACCCCCTCACCTCTCTCAGATGAGCCAACCCGAACCAGAGACTTTTCATCTCCTGTCGGCTTTCCCCCAATATTCAGTTTAAAAGCTGCTCTGCCACCTTTTTGATTTTAAGTGCCAGCAGCCTGGTTCCTTCTCGGGACAAGTGGAGACCGTCTCGCCTGTACAGCTCCCTCTTGTTCCAAAAAGTATCCCAGTGCCTAACAAACCTGAACCCTTCCCCCCTACACCATCGTCTCATCCACGCATTGAGACTCCTGATCTCTGCCTGTCTCTCCGGCCCTGCGCGTGGAACAGGTAACACTTCTGAGAAGGCTACCTTGGAGGTCCTGGACCTAAGTTTCCTGCCCAGCAGCCTAAATTTCTCCTCCAGGACCTCACGACTGCATTTCCCCACATCGTTGGTGCCGACATGCACCACGACCACTGGCTCCTCCCCAGCACTATCTACCAGCCTATCTAAAACACGCGTAATGTCCGCTACCTTCGCACCAGGCAGGCAAGTCACCATACGGTCAGTACGCGGGTTCGCCACCCAGCTGTCTACCTGCCTAAGGATCGAATCACCCACTACCAAGAGCCCCCCTCCCACCCTGCTCAGGGATGGTTCCTTGGTGCAAAAGGAGAGCCGCTCACCAGCTGGGGAAGAGGTCCCTTCTGAGGGCACATTCCCCTTATCCTCAGCATGGTGCCCTGTTTCCCCTAGACCCTCATGCTCCCTGACAGCAGCGGGGCTGCCAGATCCAGAGTGGGACGAAGCTAACAAGTCCCCGAGAGTCTTTTCTGTGTGCCTAGCTGACTGTCTCTGCTTCTCCAGGTCAGCCACCTTGGCCTCAAGGGAGCACACACGTTCCCTGAGAACCAGGAGCTCCTTGCACCGAGCACACACCCAAGACTTCTGTCCAGTGGGCAGATAGTCATACATGTGACACTCTGTGCAAAACACTGGATCGCCCCCAAACCCCTGCTTGGAATTCTGGCTTCATAATTCTTTTAAAATAAGTAAATATAATCCCCCTTTTAAAACCCTTTTGTATTTATGTGGTTTTCCTTGTTGAAGTCAAATTACTTTACGGGGAAGACAAAGAGCCTAGGGCCTCCGCTTTCTGGCTCTTCTTGGGCGTCTCACAGAGCCCCTAATCCAAGAGTCCCTAGGCGAAGAGCCACAGGCAAAGAGCCCTTTAGCTCGTACCTCTGCCAAGGTGCTTTCTTAAATACTGAATTACAGTCAAACAAAGCAGGCAGGGAGTTGGCGCTCTCGTAAGGGAGTCTCCTGACCCCACCAGAATGCAACGCCCCATTTTGGCACCTGTGAAGGGGTTTGCTTTGGATTATGCCCATGGAGGAAGGCCCCCAAAGCAGCTTCTAACCTGGGCGAAAGACAGGCCATCCCCGCTTGGCCCCACAAGGATGCAAGAAAGGGAGAGACGCCTTTTCCTCCCGGTGCTGAGGCTGCCACCTGACTTTCTTTTAGAGACCTTTTCGCACTCGGGGGTGTGTGTTTGCATTTGTGTGTGCGCCCGTGCACGGAAGTCGTGGCAACCTCTGGCGACTCCTACTGGGGGGCTTGGAGGACCTTCAGAGAAGTGGCTGGACGGGGCCTGCCTCTGGCCTCCCGGCCCTGGCCCTCTCTGGAGGCCTCCCATCGAAATAGTTGCCGGGATCCAGCCCTGCTTAGCTCCCGAGAGCTGAGGAGACTGGGCTGGAGGGACCTTTCTCCTGCTGATTTCCTGGTCTGCTTCTACACGGAGGGGGCAGTTTTCATGCCTCTCACGTGGGCGTCCTGCTGTCCCCAGGCCCTGGTTTTGTCGTATCACTGTAACTGAGCTACCTCGAGCAGGTCGCCCTCTGGCAAGGTGGCACATGCAAGTTTTTTCTAAAGGAAGGAAGGAAGGAAGGAAGGAAGCCCACACTGGGTGCAGCCTGATGAGTCGACTTACCCTGGCGCCCTGGGCGAGGGCCGCTCTCTGCTGGCTTCCTCTTCTGCGTGGGCCTTCGGGGCAGGAATCCTAGGGCAGAGAGAGAGAGAGAGAGAGGCAGAGAGAGAGAGAGAGAGAGAGAGAGAGAGAGAGTCAAGGGGCTGCCCCAAAGCCAGGCAGAGCTCCCCTGGCCTGCGCAGGGCAAGGCTGACGGCAGGCGAGAGACTGGGAGGGCTCTGTCCCTCGTCCCGCAGCCCCGCTGTTCCCCAGGGAAAGGCCGCCCACCATCGGAGCCACCCACCAGCGCCTCTGGCAGAGGGACTTCCACAGAGGGGCCTCTAGAACCACCAGGGGGACCCCAAAGGACGCTCCGTGCACCTTTCAACCGAGCACAGCTGCCTCTGAGGCCAGCAGAACCCCCCCCCCCTCGGCCCCCCCTGCCAGCCTCTTTTCCAACTGGCGTCACCCCCAGTACACCTCTGCTCTCATCGCTCAGAAGGCAACAGAATCCCGGAGGAGCGACCATTCCCACTCAGGAGCGTTGTCCCCGTTCTGGCTCAAGCAGGCATTCGGGCCGATGGCTGGCCGGCAGCTGGGCTCCTGGGACGGTCCCTCCCCCTGACCGGGTGCAGGCGCCACACCTGCGGACAAGCCTCGGGAGCACTCAAGGGACTCCTGCACCCTCTTACCCGACACCCGAGGAGGAGTCCTGGGCAGCCGCGGTGGCTCCGTGGTGGGGCGTGTGCTTCTCCGGCGCGGTGGTCCACGGGTGAGACGTTTTGTGCTTCTTCCCCGACGCTCTGCTGTCCGCCGAGGGCTGGAGCCGCTTTGCTTTGAGCTTGGCCTTCAGGGGGGCCGGCTGGTCAGCAGGCAGGGAGCCCCCGGGAGAAGCGGAGTGGGAGTGGGCGGCCAGAGGGGGGGGAGGCTTGCTCTGCTCCGGGGCTGCTGCCGTGTCCGAGACACCCACCAGCGGGGGGAAGCTGGAGAGTGGAGGGGCGAGGTCCCCTCTGCCGCCCAGTCCTGATGTCGCCGGGGGCTGGTAGGAGCCTTCGGGGTCAATGGGCGCGCCCAGAGGGTGGGCCGGGGGCAAGACACAGACACCCGAGGTGCCCAGCTGTGGAAACACGCTCGAGCCAGGGGGGGGCACCCCTGTGTGCTGCTCCGGGAGGCCCAGGCCCTGCTGAGAGGCCTTGACCAAAAGGCTGCTGAGAGGGCCGAGCTCAGAGACTCCCTGCGGCCCGGGGCTACTCAGCGCCACGGATCCTCGTCCTGCCGCGTGCCCAGGGACCGGTGTGCCGGCAGAAGGCACCGCCGATGTCTGCATCGGCACCACGTTCAGCACGGGGGGAGTGGAGCTGAGGCCCGGCACAGGCCCGGTGGCAAGGGGGCCTGCCTCCGAGGGCCCCACGACAGGAGGGGACGTTCCGACCCCAGCAGCTGCAGCGGTCCCTACGGACTGGGGCAACAGGGACGCCTGCTCAAAGTACATCACCCCTGACTTTGAACGCTTGATTATATTGGGGAGGGTTCTGTGAGAGGCTGCGTGGCCAACGGTTCCCAGATCTAGTAGGCCCGAAGGGCTGGGGAGCTGGGAGGGGGTGAAGTTAATTAAAGTCATGTTTGAGACCATGTCGGAAGAGGCCGCGGTGGAAGGGGCTAGCTTCTTATTCTTCCGCGACTGCAGGCGAGCGATCGGCCTCTTCTTGACAAGGCCGGAAGCAGGCGTGGTAGCTGCGGGCCCAGCATCCGCTCTCGGAGGGGTTTCCGGCTCCGGTGGCTGCTGGACACCAATCAGGAGGCCCGGGGGGGCAGGGCTGCCGAGAGCAGGAGGGAAGCCACTCTGGGGTGCTGCAGAAAAGGAATGCAAGTGTTGGTGATGCGGCAAGGGCAGCAGCCCTTTGCCGGCCGGCGGGAAGAGAGGCTGGGAGGAGGGCAAGCCGGGACTCAGGCCTGCCGCCAACGCGAGCCCCGTGCCCAGGGGCCCCAGCACGGAAGGGCTCGCCTCCATCACGCCCTGCGCCGAGCTGACCGAGGAGGTCAGCTGGATCTTTTGGGTGACGCCATTGGGAAGAGTCTGCAGGACGTAGAGCGGCTGCATGTTCTGGTTAACCACTAGGAGCTTTTCAGCCGCTGCCTTTAGATGGTGGGGGGCCGTCTGCACAGCAGCGTTAGAGATCTGAGACGGACCTGGGCTCTCTGTCGAGTTTGGGCCATATTTGGGATTCTGGAGAGGGAGGGTAGGAGATGCCGGTACTTGGAGAGCAGGGGTCCCGGTGTTCCTTGTCAAGTCTTGGCCGGCTCCGTGGTTCTGCTCCACTTGTCCACATGGGGGACTCGCAATATGATCCGCTTCCATGTGGCCTTGAATGAAGGGGTCAGGGGTCATGTGTCCTTCCGGGCTGGGATCCACTCGCGGGCTTAAGAGAGCCGGCTCTCCTTCACTGGAGGCAGGTTTCTCGGTGACGGCCACTCTCTTCTCCGCAGATTCTGCAGCAGACAAAGCTAGCATAGATCTCTCCCCAGACGAGGAGAGTGACGATTCTGAAATCACAGCGAGCCTGCTGTGGCTCTGGCTGGGCACCGCGGGGCTTCGAGTCGTCAGGACAGAGAGATCGGAAGGAAGCTCCAGAGGCAGCTCAAACTGCTCCTCTGCAGAGATGGATGAGGAGACGCTGCTGTCCACCGGTTCCGCCGTTGGCAGCTGCTGGGAAAACACCTCGAAGAGGCCGATGTCCTTGCCCCGGTTGCTGTCCAGGCCGAGCCCTTCTCCCAGCGTCAGGAGTTCGGAGGACGAGGACTCGGGACTTTCTCCCAGGGCCTGCATCGAGGGGGTGTTTTTCAGGACAAAGTCCATGATGTCGGAAGGGAGAATGTTCCCACAGTCGTCACTGTTGTTGTTGTCGGAGTCGGACTTCAGGAGCTCGGTGCTGAAGGTGTCCAGCAGATTCTTGTCCGAAGGCGTGCTGGCGCGAGGCCGGCGTCCGGCGTCCAAGGAGCTCAGCTGAGCTTCCAGGGAATCCTGGCTCTGAGCCTTGGCCCGGCAGTTCTCTGTCTTTGGGTCAGCACTTTTGTGGCCGGCTGAGATCTTCGTCGCGTGAGCTTTCTCTCCGCTTTCTTCACTCCTATCAAGTTTCAAGCTCTCTGTCCCATTCTCTTTGCCGCCCCCGCCCCCCCTTTTGGTCCCTGGATTCACTTTCCTCGCGGCCACGGTGATGCTCGTGTCACTTTCTGACCCATCGTCCACCCCATCGAGCTGGGAGATTTTGGGAAGGCTACACTGCTCCTCCTCTCGGAACAGGTTGTGGGACACCAGGTGCTCTTCCGTGCCGGACACCACGGTCCTGGCAAAATTGTAGTAGTAGAGATCTTCCTCGTCTGACGTGCTGACGTCGTCCGCACCGTCCACCTGCCCCTCGGCAGACCTCTTGCCCCGCTTCTTCCCGGTGGAGGTGCTGAAGAAGGGGATGTCTTCCTCGCCATAGGACCTCACGCCGTACAAGGGAGTCAGCCCAAAGAACATGTTGGACCTGGCCCGGGCGCTGCGCCTGGGGTACCGCCGCTTGTAGGCGCCCTCTTCCGTTGCTTTAGCCGCCGCCCCCTCCTGGAGTATCAAGGGGCAGTCTCGGCCAGGAAGGCTCTGGTGGGGCCCCGGGGCGGGAGGGTCACGTGGTCCCTCCTGGGCCACAGGGCCAGCCCCGGGGGGCAGGGGCGGTGCCACAGAAGCCGGCTGGCTGTCCTGGGAGGCCCCCCCTGCGTCGCTCTCCCTCGGGGCGCTCCTGGGCTGGCTCTCCCCCTCCATCCTGAGGGGAGTCAGGGTGACCTTCACCGTGCGCTTCTGGGAGGCTGGCAGGTCCTTTGAGGGCGTCCCTCCTCCTCCTTCACCATGGCAAAGGGCTGCCCTGGAGATCCTCTCCGTGGCCTTCTCAGCAGCAACAGCCCTGCAGGGCTCAGGGGCCGGAGTGACCCGTTCCGGCCCTGCCCTTTGCTCACCGCCACCCGGGAGGAGACCCGAACCTGTCGGGAGCTTACTGGAACGCCTCTCCGCCGTCCCTTTCTTCCCTTTCTGTCGCCTCTCTCTGCTCACAGAGGGAACGGGCTCACTGGCCGGGGGAGGCTTGGTACTCCCGCCGGGGGTCTTGGAGCCCTTCCCTTCCGCCTCCTCGGAAGCACAGGTCAGCTCTGGCTGTGGGAGGTCCATCGGCTGGTCCTGTTCCTTCTTTGGGGCTCTCTGATGTAAAGGCAGGGAAGCCGCCGTGTCTTTGGAGGAAAGCAATCCAGGCGGGGGGGTTTCCAGGAGCATCCCCCCCCCTTGGCTGGTGCTCGGCTCCGTGCCAGCTGTGCCTGCCGCCACCAGAGGGCTGGCCTTGGAGCTCCTGGGGGAAGCGCTGGCGTCTCTGGGACTCAGAACCTTGGCTTTCTCAGCACTCGTGGGGATGGACCCCCCAGGAGGCGGCACTTCCAAGGACACAGATCCCTCCAGAGGGGGAGGGCCTTTGCTCCCACTTCTCACCGCCGCTCTCTGGGCACTGGGAGGGGCAGAGCTGCTCTGGAGAGCCACGCGGGAGGCTGCCGGGCCCAGCGACTGTTCTGCCGGCAGCGGGAGGCTCCAGTCCTGCTCGTGGGGGGCGGGGCCCACGCTGGGCCTGGAGAGAGGGGCCCTGGCCTTGCTGGCAGACAGCACCCAGGACCGGGGCTGCGGAGGGGAGAGAGGAGACGCACTGTGCCTCCTGGGGCCAATGCTCCGGAGAAGGAGTCCCGACGACAGCAGCGGGTCTCCCACGGTCACGATCTCGTGAGTCACGGGGGCGGGGCTCCCTGCAGAGAAGAGAAGGGGGGGGAGAAGAGAAGAGAAGAGGCGTTAACAGAGCTGAGGTCAATAACAGGGGCCAAGAGCGCGTCACTGGGACCCACCCGGGGGAAGGACAATGTGGCATTCTGCCTCCCACAGCCAAACTTTTCTTTCATCATCTGATTCGGCCCTGTTCTTTCCTCAGGCAAAGTGGTCAGTCTCTAAATGAAGCTGTCCTCTACCGAGTTCAGCCCACGGGGGGTCCGCCAAGGCCCCTACTGCCCCTTCTGACTCCCAACTGACTCTCCAGCGTCTCAGGCAGAGAAAGCCCCCCACACACACACACGCACACACCTGATCCTTTTTGGAAAAAACACTTTTTATGGATAGCAACAGTAAAACAGTAACAGTATACAGGACATGAATAAAACAACTAACTGTGAAGAAAGGACCAACAATAACAACAGCCAGCGGTGTTCTAAACGAGGCACACTGTGATCAAGGAGAGTTTACGTACTCACATCATATAGAATTTGGCTGCTCAGAGAAATATTTATAATACCCTTTGGTATTGTAACATGGAACTGTGTTTCAAAGGCCTTTTGTGGATTTCCTGCTTAGGTTTATCATAAACTGGTAGCCATCCATTTGTGAAATTAGCTGTGTACAATAGATTATCAGTAACAGAAGATGCCAAGACCTTCTGCATGCAAACCAGATGCGCGACCACTCAGCCACAAACCAGGTCTGCCTTTCGCATTCAGAATAACTCCCCGCCGCCACCACCACCACACACAGAGATCATAAAACGGTGGCTCGAAACTGCAGTGTCCCAAGGCCTGGGCGTGGCTGCCCTTGGGGTTCTTTCAAATTCCAATTTAATCACAGTGAGCCCACAAATGTCTAGGGTTGGGGAAGGGGCCAGCTGGATTTCAGAGCTGCCTCTGGAATCTGCTACAGAACTCTGGGGTGCCTCCTGCCGCGGCCTCAGAGGAAGTCGGGGCCTCCGTATCTGGACAGGGCAGACTCCTCAGGTGTCTCTTCCCAGCTCAGCTCCCGCTGATACCAAGACTGGCCAACCGAGGAGGAGGGTTCAGACTCCTGGCGCAGGTAGGGTAGCAGCTCTACGAGCTAAGCAGGGGAGAGGGAGTGTCTGACCGGGCTGAGGCAGAGAGAACGGAAGAAGGAAAGACCAAACATGACCAACAGCTTTGCAAGACGCCACATGGAAAAGGTTTATGATTTTGGCAACCAAGAAGGCAATGACTGGAGAGCCAGAGGCCTAACAGCCAAGGACACGGGTGCGATAGCCAGAGGCCTACATGCCAGTGATGCGCAAGGATTCAGGGAGCAAGTACGTCCCCCTGGAGTGTCTGGTCACGAGAAAGCCCCAAAAGCACTCCCGACTGTACACAACCATGTCCTGCCCCATCAGAGGTAACCCCTGACCTGTTTGCCAGCACAAAGCGTGCTTTACCGGGGAAGGGGGGGGCTTTCTTGGCCCCAACTGGGAAATCCACACAGAAAGCCCCAGCACCGGCTGACTGCTGACCAAGCACAAAGTTTCAAAGATCTGAGAGACGCGCCCGAAACTCTGAACAATCTTGTTAACAAAAAAGAGTGTTTGGAATGGCACATTATTCTGGGATACTGGAAAGATTTTATGGGAAAGGGACATTTTGTTCCCTGGGTGCCAAAGTGAACAGTAAATGTGGGCAAATTACATGTCCACTCCTCTTTTTCTACCCTACAGGAACTACCCTGGTACTACCCCTGACCTGGGGGAAGGTATAAAGATCTTAGGTGCGAGCAAGCTACTAGCAACTTGGGAGTCCACCCACTGTGTGGATCCAGCCTTCAAAATGTTTAGATTTTTGGTCCTTATTTGTGTGATCTTTTGTTCTTCCTCTCATTCAAAAGTTCAGGACAGTGGACCACCACCACTCTCTCCCCGGGTGATTATGGACATTCTTCTCTTACTAAAGACGCTAATTTTCTGCCCCTAAGCATTTCTCCACTGTTCAAATCAAGCTGATTACAGTGCACGTGGTACCTCTGCAACCCATGTTCCTTCCCTGCGACACCCCTCCCACTTTCTGACTGGGATATAAAGGCTCAAGAGATCGCATTCCAACTCATATCTGATGAAAGGAGTTTTGGCTCTCAAAAGCTGATATCCTGAAAGTCTCTAAGGTGCTGCTGGACTCAAATGTAGCCCCTCTTTCAAAAAACAAAGCCCACCACATTCCAGAAGTTAAGGGATGGTTGCGGACTGCCACCAATGCATACAAAATCCATAAAACTGCATCAAATCTAGCAAAGGCTCACAGCTAAGAACACCCATTCTGAAAGATGGCTGGCTTCAGCCAATGGCTGAGGGGCAACCACCAAGGGCACTCCTCCTCTCCAGGCCAAGACAATCCTAGCAGACGGCCCTTCACCGGGCGACAGGAAGGACACAGCAGCATGCCTGTTAGGCCCACACCTTACAACAAGCCCCCCCCCCCCCGGCCACTCAGATGTTGCTGTACTAGCAAAAATGGGCTTCTGGAGGCTCACATCCAAGAGCAGCAGCCTGGGGAAAATACTGGGCCTGAGAAAACAGCACAGAGTTTAGAGACCGAAACACGACAGGTCAGACCTGCAGAGGGCAATGGCCTCGAACCGGGGGATCGCTGGACTGGGGCGAAACTTGGCCTTCTGATCCGCAGAGCCTTGCAGTTCTGCAAATGCGCAGGAAGGTCTGAAGACAGAGGACTCACAGCTGCAGAGACGCCATGGACTTCATTAGCGAGGATTTCTATTGCAGAACAAAAATGAGAAATCAGGAATCTAACGTAAGAACACAGCAGCAGCCATGCTGGACTAGACCAGTGGCCCATCTGGTTCAGCGCCTTGTTTCACAAAGCAGCCAGCCGTAAGGTTTCCAAGTGGAAGGCAGCCGCCAAAGCTTCCTCCTGGTACCTCCCCCTTAGTCAACGTTCCCCCTAAATTAACACTGCAAGCCTAAGAAAAGTGACTCCAGTCTAAACCCACGGATTTCAGTTGGCTTAGACTGGAGTAACTCTGCTTAGGGTAGCGCTGTAAAAGGTCCAAAGGTTTCTGTTTTCCTTCACAGGGAAGGCGCTCCAACCCTACAATTACTCTGGTTGCTCGTTTCTGGATCCTTCTGAAACGGAGCAATCAGAACTATACCCTGAATTCTACATGGGGCTGCACCAGAGATCTACACTAGGGCATTACAACATTGGCCATTTTGTTTTCAGTTCCTTTCCTACTAACCCCTAGCACTAAATCTGCCTCTTCACCATTGCCACAGTAAATTAACATTTTTTTATAGCTCTCCTGCAGCCTTGGCATAATCTGATTTTTCTGCAGACCGAACACAGCTCTGCATGTGGGCTTGGGAGGCAGTCCTTCTTCCCTCCTCACCCCTACTTCCCCCAAAGGGTTTTGCTTGAAATATTCTGGATTTATTGGGAGGTGGGGGGAACAATGGACAATTCTTGCAGTGGACAGGCCTAAGTACTGGGGTTTGACAGGTGTCTTGAGTTTGACCCACTGCTAGATAATTGGTTTCTAAAGGATCTGGCATCAGAGTGCAAACAGTGGTCAAGTTTGCAGGTGACAACAAATTATTCAGGACAGTGAAAACGAAAGAGAGGCGCTCCAAACTGAACAAGTGGGTGACAACACAGGAAATGAGATCCATTGTGGGAAAGCCTTCGGAGACCGAGATAGATCCCCTGATCCTGTCAACCTTTGCCTTTGGCTTGTTTGTGTGCCCCAGTTCTTAACCTCTTTTTCGGTGTTGTTCTTGTTGTAGTTAAAAGGGTTTCAACTATTTTGGAAACTACTTTTTTTAACAAAAATGGGGTGGAGTATTTCATTCTGCAACTAAAGCCTATTTCTGCAGCCAAGGGAATGATCCTCTGCTGCCTCCTCATGTGTGAACAGCCTTCCCCAATAGGCCAGCAGCTGATCTTGATCCTGTGCATCCTGCACAGAAAGTCACCAGCACTTGATGATGTCTCGCGCACCACGGAAGGCTGTTCACGGAAGAGGAAAGGAACACAGACGATGGGTGTGAGTTTGGTATATACCAAGCCAAATAAATACCACCACCACCACCCAGGTTTTTTTGGGTATTTATTCAGCCAAATACAGATTAGACAATCTGATTCGGCTACCGAAATAGCCACGCCCGAATAAAAGCCAATATTAAATGCATTCAGTTCACTTGCCGAGTTGCACCGCCACTTAGTGCACAAATTGAACTCGTTGAGTCGCGCAACCGTCGTGGCATGACACAGTGAGTGAAGTGAATGCATTTAAAATTTAAATGCCTTCAGTTTGCTTGCCAAGTCAGACCACCACAGTGGCATGACTTTGTGAATGAACTGAATGCATTTAAACTCACTGAACTCACTGAGTCACATCACGGTGACAGTGTCACTTCGCGAGTGAAAGTCTCAATTATACCCTATGGGGATGGTCCCCATAGGGAATAATGGAGCCAAATAAATTAGGGTTTCCCGAATATTTACTAAAATGCAAATACAATACCGATAGTGGTATTTCGGAATACCAATATTTTTCGGGTCCAATAGACTCAAATTGGGGGGGAAAGAATTTATTTGTGGGGTTTTTTGCACACCCCTAACATGGTCTGCAGCTCTCTGCAGCTGTAGACCTGGCATGGAGCTTAGCTCACCGGGAGGCGGCACTGGGCTGTGTGCGATTGTCCTGTTGTCATCGTGGTCCACAGTGCTATTGATATCTGGCTCTGAGGTGGGAGGGCGGCATTCCACAATCTTGCACGTGTATACACAGCGCTTCCTAGCATCTGTTGTGCTCCAATACACCCGAGAACACCTGGAAAATATTTCAGAGATGCTCACAAGCCTGATTTTAGGCTGCAACTCCTCCAAACCTCAAGAGAGGAAAAAAGGACTTCCCATACAACAGACCGGGTCCCCCAGAGCATTTTCCAGGGCGAAATGATGCCTATTTAGCAGTCAGCTGGTACGTACTGGTAGCCAATGGGGAAAAGTTTGTCTTCACAATCAGAAAGATCATTCAGAATTCCAAGGCAGTCAATAGTCATGGACCCTGCATGGAAATGGAACAGGGAACGTTCTGTGGAGAAGAGCAACCAAAGTCCCCCCCCCAGCCACATGCCCAAAGCCAGCAGCCAAGGCCTTACCAATCATCATATGGATGTTCTCTGGTTCCAAACCATTGAGAAACTTCCGCCTCAAGCTAATCCCTTCAAAATCCACGAAGACTCTTCGCAGGACCTCAAACCCCTTCTCAGGCACCACCTGTAGCTAAAGCAAAGAGACAGAACTGCTGCAGCCAGAGCCAAAGGCACGTGGGGGGGAGGGAGGGAGGGGTGCAAACAGGCAAGGGCCTCACCTCTCCCTGGATCAGGTCTCGATGGCGCTGGCAGTACACTTTCTTGTCCTCCAGGAAGACGCAGTTTTTGGCCCGGGAGCACATGAAGTGATAGTTGCTGGTGCAGGAGGCCAAGCAGCAGCCCACCGTGGCCCCCGACTTCAGGCACAGCTCACACCTCTGCAAGATCAGGGTTTGGGGGCTTTTACACAAGCACTGCATAACGCAGCATTATTGATGGGGGGGGGACCACCTGTTCCAAGCAGCACCACTCCCCCTTCAGCCGGCCGCCTCAGGTGCGCACCAAAAGCCATCGCTGGGGGCCACCCCGCAAGCTCAGCACCGAGAGCCAGCCCAGGCCATCCTGCCCAGGAGTTGTCACTACACGGGATTCATTATGGACCTGGATGGAATCTGCGAATGGGATCAACTCATGTTCTCCAGACATTGCACGTCAGCAACTAAGAGGAACAGCAGAGAAGCCTGGCTGCCTGGGAAGCCCAGAGTTCACAGCTGGCCACAGCAAATCACTTGCCATGCTTAAGGCAAACCCACCACTGCACCCAGGCCCCTCGTGGAGACGTTCAGCACCCCTGGCCAGAGTCCGTCTCACTGACTGCGAGGGGGGCTTGTCTACACAAGGGCAACAGCGGAATCTGCAAGCGTTGGTGTGCGAGGTGCTTTGCAATTCAGGTGCCACCTGAAGGAGCGTTCACCATTTCCTTTTGTTACTAGCAGACAGAGCTGGGAACTCCACTCCGCAGACTGGGGCCAGTCAAGCGGTACGAGGCCTCAGCCTGCCAGCAAGCCACATCATGCAAGGCTGACTCTTCGTCACGATGCACAGCAGGCTCTCCAAAGGCCTTCTTGCTCTTGCAAGAGCCAGAAAGAAGAGCTTTTTGCGCAGGGCAATGTGACTGGCTTTTAAAGCCCATTTTCTACTTCCCAGAATACTCCTGTCCCAGCTGCTCCTACCCACCAGCTGTTTCCCTCGGATCACCGCCATGTGCACATTCTTCAAGGAGCCGTCATCATCCTCAAACACCTCCGCAGACCACAGGGCACAGTTCACGTGCGTCCACTCATTCTGGCCAATGTAGAGGAGACGGCCAGCGTCCTGCAGGAAGGGAGTCAGGCCATTGGAGGCACTCAGAATGCAGTCATGAGCAAAGAGCCCGGGGGATGGAGTGACAGGCGGGCATGTGGGTGGGAAGGGAACTGCCAGCTCAGCTGTACGGAGGCCTTGGCAGAGCTGGACTGCTTCTTGGCACTGGCCAGAACCCACCAGTGGCAAAAGGTCTCCTCCGTTGCCTGCAAGAGTCTGCGTCCCAACACAGCCACTTACATTTGTCCCATCGTCTCCATATTTCAAGCAAAGGGCACACTGCCGGTTGTCTTCCACATCCGGAGGGGGGGCGAGGTCTGGGCTGTCCTCTCTGCCTCTGTCAGAGCCTCCAAGCAAAAGAAGAGGGAGATGCTCACTCCTGACAAGCAGCACTTTGGAAGATGATGCTGACAGGGATCACACACACACACACACACACAGAAATCTGCTGGAGAAACGAATGGGGTCGCAAAGCCCCAGAGCATCCAACCTGCTTGAGGAGAAGCACCGTCCAGCAGAGGAGACCACAACAGGCCAGGCTCCGGAGATCCCCTTGCAAACTTTGCCTCAGACTTCAGGCAGACGCCCCGGACCCCCACCCTGATGTCTGGCTGGTCCAGAGCAGGACATAACCCAGGGCCTAACACACACACACACACACACACCCCATCAAGGCAGCTCATCTGCAGAGCTACCCCCCCCCAGGAAAAGACAAGGCGCCATTGCTCACTGGACACGGGTGCCGCGGGGGGAGGCGGTGGCGTTGGGAAGTCTGGTTCTCCTGGCCCTTTGGGTTTGGGAGCGGGGATTATTTTCTTCATCAGAGGGGGCTGCTGAGCACAACTGTTTTCTTCACGTTCCTGCCACTGAGCATAATTATGGTCGAGGGATGGGGGCAAGACCGCGTTTGGCAGCATTCCACTACTGAAAAGGCAACAAGAGACAGGGCCCAGCATCAGGCAGAGCTCCACTGGGCGGCCCAGAAGCCCCGGCTGTGGCGTCCCCCGGCCTGCAGCCCGTGGGCGGACTCAACCCCCCTCCACCGATGCAACACCCAGCATGTGTGACACCCAGCATGCAAAGACATGACACCCTCTGGGCAGGCAATCACTCTGTGAAACAGGACAGCCAGTCTAGGAACTGAATTCCTATTTGATCTACAGCATATGCCACAGCTCTGGTCCCACCTTGGATCAACTGCACAGCACTTACTTACTTGGTTGTGACTTTATTGGGTTCCCAAAATCTTGATTTCTTTACATTGAACCATGGAAAAACTCGTTCCATTTGCTAAAGGGGGGGGGGGAAATATTTTATTACAAATGCTGTCCAAGACAGTCCTGAACATTTCAAGAAACTTCGTCAAATTCACAACAAGGAAGTCTTTATTTTGGACTTCAAATATGCCAAGGCCAGGTACCAATTTGTTGCAGAGAGCCACGCAGGAGCTTAAACAGAAGCATGAGCCACTTTGGGAGCCTTTAAGAAGCAGCCTCACTGTGCGGAAAGCACCCTTCCGCCCTTAGGAGGGGGCAAACTTGGCTTACCCGAATAAAGAAAGACTTCACCATGCCGTTGGCCTTCTTGAGTTCTGGCTGCCCTCCGTCGGCATTCATGGCTGCTTGGATGATCTTCACAATGTCATCACTCAGTTCCAGCTAAAAGGGGCAGACACAGACACACAGCGCTCATCCTGCTGCCTTCTTCTGCAAGGTCCCGGCCCTTTGAAGACAGCCCCCCCCCCCCCCCGGGGCAGAGAAACGAGGGTCGCCCTGCTCCGTCAGCCCGGCCTTGTTCTCCACAATAGCAGCAGATCTGGGATTAAGCAAAGCTGACTGGCTGGGAAGCCCAAGAGCACACCCAAGGGCACGGGAGGAGGAGGAGGAGGAGGAAGTGCCCATGGCATTTTAAGGCCCATCTCAATGCAGTCCAGAAAGAGCAGAGCGGTTTCGTGAGCTCTTTTCAAGCACAAGGAGGGCAAACGCACCACAGAGGAGTAGCCTCCTTGGTCCAGCCTTCTCTTCACTCCCTCCAGGTCCAGAGGCTGCTGCTCCTCCTGCTTGCTGACTTCCGTTAGCACAGGAGGGTCCGGGCCTTCCGGAGAGGTTCGGGACGGAATGCTTTCCTCGGTCTCAGGGTTTAAATCAGGCGGCTTGGCTGCCTGGAGACAGACAGCAAGAGGACAGAATGTCTCCTCACCCTGGCACGGAACAAAACATGCCAGGAAATGATGAATAAGCCGTACAGATGTGGATGCATCAACGGTCTACGGATGCGTCATTCAGGAGAACGAAAAGGTGGAGGCAGCCCCCGCCCGGCCCGGGGTAGGAGGGCAGAACAGAGAGGGAGACAATCTTTGTGAAGGACAAGACCAACCCCCAGCAGGCCTGCAAAGCCGTGCCGACACCAACGCCCGTGGACACAGGGCCAGGGAGGCAACTCTTCGCTCCACCCCGCAAAGGCCCCCGCCTCCGTCTCCCTCACTGCCACTGGCGGGTCAGCACTTGGCGGAGACCGGGAGCGGGAGGGAGGCCCCACCTGTCTGCAGCGCAGCAAGTGGCTGGTTGTCCGGGAACTGAGCAGGGCCGCCACCACCTGCTTCAAAGACTGCTGCAGCTCATTCTCCAGCGCCAGGCGCCACTCAGCAGGATGCTGCTCCGTGCAGTGAGTGCACGTGTAAGCCACGCTCTCCGGCAGGCTGGAGAGGATCTCATACATCTCATCTGAAGGGAGAGCGGACAAGCGTTAGGGGGGCCAGACAACAACGGGCACACACATGTTGGAGGCTAACAGTGTACGTCGGTGGATTCAGTGTCATGATTTTTCACTTTGGGGGCCAGAGAACACCAGCATGGCCCCTACAGAGTCTGCGTAGGTGTGCCTGTCCATCCATCCCGCGGAGTCCCCGGAGCACGGCCCAAAGGCAACAGCTGCCTCCGGGCCTTTGCCAGTCACCGGTGTGGTGTGTGGCCCTCTTCTCAGGACCCAGAGCGGCTCATGTCTCCTCTCTGGGCTCACAGACTAGGCAGAAGGAGAGAGGTCATGACCCAAGTCAGTGTGGAGAGCCAATGGAGGAGGGTGGTGTGGACTTAAACCACTGCTGAGCCAGAAAGCAGCCTGAGCGGCTCTGGACGCCTCACCCTCGCCTGGCCCGGCCTACCTCACACAGCTGTTGCAAGGAAGGAATCTGCACTGCAATCCCACGCTCTCGGGAGGGAGGGAGGGCAGACAGACAGGCCGAAGACAGCCCCCTTCGTCTGAAGGCTGCTCTTTGCAAGCTAGGCAGGCCTCACCTGAAAGGTTTTCGCACTTGGAGTGGACCCAGTGGTCACATTTCCCACACTGCATCATCTTGCTCTCGTAGTCATCGTCGTCATAGCACTTGTCACAGAGGGGGCAGAAGTTCCCTGCAAGCAGGCACAGCTATCAGCTCAAGGGGGGCGCGGCCAGAGGCCTGGCTGCCCACCCACTGCTTGGGATAGAGAAGCCCGGTGGAAGAGAGTCTCCCTCCCGCGCCTCCCGCCCACAGCTGGGACTGCCCCGTGTTGACAGCGCAAGCGGCCCTGACCTGGCGGGCGACCCTGCTGCCAAGCAAGCCCCCGTTACCTTTCGCAAAGAGCTTGGCACAATCATGGCACAGCGAGAAGTCATGAGACCACTGGGCATCCCACCCTTTGCCTGGCGTCGTCGCACCACAGCTCTTGCATCGAACACATTTCGTGCAGATCTGGAAAGAGGAGGAGGCCTTTCGCTCAAGGTTTCTCGTTCTCTGCCACAGTCGCTTCAACGCTAGAAGGTGCTTTCCCCCGGACCAGCCCCACCCGTTCCCTCAGCTGGAAAGGACCATCAAGGCGATGGCACGACCCACTCGCTGCATTCCACTGCTAGCCTTTGTGTCTGTTTTTCAGATATAGTTTCTCAGACTGTGAACAAAACTGCAACACCAGCCAGTTCGGGGTGCTCCAGAAGCCTCCAGAAGGAGGGGGGCTCCTCAAGGCAGGCAGCAGGCAAGGGGAAGGCCTCACCCATCTCGGGGCTGCACTGCCAACGCGTCCTCCTTTCCCACCCCACTTGCAGGCAGCACTTGACCTCCATCCCCCCAGCTCCAAGAGCAATGAGGGCTGCCCTGGATGCTGCAGCCAGGAGTCAACGGAGGGAGCAACAGGTAGAGCGGAGTCCCCACTCCCTACTTTTAAACCACTCAGGCATGATCAGGCAAATTATGTGCTCTGTGTTCCAGCCAGTAATCAACAGCATAACCGTGGCAACAAAAGCCGAAATAATGAAGGAGCGATTGACGATAATTAAAGGGCTAGCTGTAATAATTCTGTTGCATTTCTAAGCATATTTTTACATGGCACAGGATAAGCACACAGAGGGCCTCGCTCACAGCCTGCCACACCCCCGCCCTCCTTTGCCTTGGCCACGATGGGGAATGGAGTGTTCTGTGTGGAGCTCCTCCCAGGTGACGGGTGCTCCTTCAGACAGGTCTCCAGCGTGGAAGAAAGCCGCAGGAGGCCCAGAAGACTCCTCCTTTGGAGCTGAAGCTGTGGCCGGTCGGTGGGAAGGGACTGCCGGTTTGTGGCAACCCAGACAGGCAAAGAGGGACGCTGCCCTGCAAAGATGTCTGGCCGTTTTCCTGTAGGCCATCAAAGAGCAGCGTCTGGGCCAGAACTTCTCTGCTGGAACTCACCCAAACTTTCTTTTTCTTGGTAGGCTTGGTTGGGTAGTTTGGTCCCAGGCACTCTGGGTGGAAGCTGTTTCGGCACTTGTTGCACTCCAGCAGCTGCTACAGAAAAATGGAGCACAGTAAACAATGCTGATGTAAATCCAGACTCTCCTGCATCCTGCGGAGAGACTTTATTCTGTACTGGAGCAAACCTTGGCTCAACAAAACCAAGCTGCTGTGGATTTTGAGCAGCACCGGGCTTCCAGGGCCATCCGGGAACGTGGCCTAACCCAGTGACGCCCACCAACCCCTCCCCCATGCTCCACCACTACCTTGGTGGCCTGATGCTGCCTCCCAGCAGGGACCAGAAGGCGCCTTAGGGATGGAGACTACCTTGGTGGCCTGATGCTGCCTCCCACACACGTGGCAGAATTTGCACCGGCGGCAGCACCAGTTCTCCAGCTGATCCTCCAGGGGGCGCTCACTCTCCTCCAGGCAGAATTTGTGGAAGGGCTCACAACACACTTGGCAATACACAAACTGTGAAGGGAAGAAACAAAGGCCGTGAGTCAGCTGCACCCCACAATGTTCCGCCCTCCAGCTGGCCCCAGAAGCAGGCATCTGATCATGAGGGTCTGGAGCCACAAAAGCCATTTCCACATGGTCCTCTGGGCGCTGCGAGGAAGAGTGAAGGCTAACAGTCTAGTTGAGGGCAAAGGCCTTTGTGGAGGAAAGCCCCCTGGGATGTCACCTCCCGACTCATTCCGAAGAAGCTTAAAAACACACACACCCCCGGGTAGTAAGACAACATGAAGTCAGCATCACCCTCTCCCCAGACACCTTACTGGAAGTACTTATACCCCGACTCATACTTCAAAGGACTTCCAAGAAAGCGAACAGATAAAACTATAAAAGCCAACAAAAATAAAAATCAATCTCATGAGCAGCAATCAAAACAGCAAGTGCATCACTTGCACACAGAGCGCCAGTTTGGTGTCGTGGTTGAGTTGCGCAGAGGACTCTAATCTGGGAGAGCCGGGTTGGATTCCTCACTCCTCCGCTTGCACCTGGCTGGATGACCTTGGGCAAGCCGTAGTTCTGTCAGAGCTGTTCTCTCAAGGGCAGTTCTCAAGAGAGCTCTCTCAGCCCCCACCCACCTCACAGGGTGTCTGTTGTGGGGAGGGGAAGGGAAAGGAGTTTGTAAGCCGCTCTGAGACACCTCTGGGTAGTGAAGGGCAAGGGGTATAAATCCAATCTCTTCTTCTTCTCCAGTTTGGTGTCGTGGCCAAGTGGGACGCTGCCCTGCAAAGATGTCTGGGAGAACCAGGTTTGATTTCCCACTCTTCCTCCACTTGCACCTGGCTGGATGACCTTGGACAAGCCGTAGTTCTGACAAGAGCTGTCCTTGAAAAAAAGCAGTCCTCTCTCAAGAGCTCTCTCAGCCCCGCCTACCTGACAGGGTGCCTGTTGTGGGGAAGGGAAGGGAAGGGAGTTTGTAAGCCACTCTGAGACTCCTCCTTTGGGTAGTGAAGGGCAAGGGGTATGAATCCCATCTCCTCCTCTCCTCCATCACAACCAGTTCCTTCCAAGCCCTGCCAAAAGGCAGTCTTGGCCTGGTGTCCCTGAAGATGCCACACAAGAGGCTCCGGGGAGGGCGTTCCAGAAACACCCCGCCTCCCTTTCGCCTCCAAAGGCCCAGGGCACCCTGAGAAAGGCTTCCTGGAGCCACACCTGAACTGACGGGCAGGTTCGGGTGGGGGAATGTGAACCTTCTCGTATCCTGGTCCCAGCTATACACAGGAGGGCCTTAAAGTCCACCCAGAAAAGCAAGAAGCCCCGGCCTGAAGCAGCACTTTCAAACCCTGATCCCTGCTTGGGGAGATCCAGGCAGTTCAGCTGAAGCCTCCCAGCAGCCAGGCACTCCGAGGAAGCAGCCCCGGATGCCGCCACCCACTGAGAATAAACCCCAGCCCCTCCCCCTGGACCCTGCCCCCGAAGCGCGTCTCCATTCGCCCCCCCAACACACACCCCTTGTCTCCCGCTTGCCCCCTGTGTGGAAGCCCCACCCCCGCCCCGTTTCAGGCTCCAACGCCTGCCTCTCCTCCTTCCTCTCAGACCAGACCCCCAAAGCTGATCCTGGGTGACCCCCTCCCCTCTGATGGGGCTGCTTTCCACCTCCTTTCCCGGAAGCCCCTCTTCCGCTCCCTCCCACACACGCGGCCTTCAGCCCTGCCTGCCCCGGTCCTCTCTCAACCGTGGGGCAGCGTGTCCTTCCAAACTGCACGCAGTCCACCTTTCCCCACCCTATGCCTCTTGATCCTTCCATCTGCTGATGAGAGCATCGGGGGGCTTTCTTCGGCTCGCCATCCCCCTTTCCAAGGTCCAGATCTCAGCCCTCCCTCCATGCAACACTTTCCACATGTATCAGAGCTCTTCTTCAGCTGAACCCGTCTGGGAAAGAACAGGAGAGCCGGCAGATCCCGTCCATCATACATCCCTCCTCCACCTGCTTGGCCAGTGGCCACCAAGGCACCACACGGATCCAGACCAGCTCCAGAAGTCTCCCTGCCACTCTTCCGGGTGTCACGGCCACGGGCCCTTTCGCTCTAGACTTTCTCTCTCTTCCCTTGCTCAGCACAGTGTCCTCCTCCTCTCTGATGTTCTGCAGGTACACCTTGGCCCCCTCACCTCTGTCCAGCACTCAGCCACCCATACTGCCTGGTGCAGTGGTTAAGAGCAGTGGACTCTAAACTGGGAGAACCGGGCTTGATTCCTCACTCCTCCACATGCATCCAGCTGGATGACCTTGGGCAAGCCATAGTTCTGGCACAGCTGTTCTTGAAAAAGAGCCGTTTCTGTCAGAGCTCTCTCAGCCCCACCTACCTAACAGGGTGCCTGTTGTGGGGAGGGGAAGGGAAGGAGATTGTAAGCCGCTCTGAGACTCCAAGTGAAGGGCCATGGGGTATCAATCCAGCTCTCCTCCTCCTCTCTGACCACGTGACCTTCCTCTTTCAATTCTTACACTGACTTCCTCCCAGATCTGGCACAACCCTCTCCTCCTGACCGCCAAGGCTCCCCCCCTTCCATCCTTGTATTCAGGACACCTGCTCAAGCCACCCCCTTTGGCACCAGTGTTCCCTCCAAGCTGAGTTGGTGTGAGCTAGCTCACAGTTTTTCAGCCTCCGGCGCACACATTTTTGTCTTCGCTCAGGAAGGGCGGCTCCAGAGCAAACTCATTTATGCAGCAGCCAAATCACTCACTCACAACTTTGATGCCGGCAGCTCACAAAGTAGAATTTTTGCTCACAAGACTCCACAGCTTAGAGGGAGCATTGTTTGGCACACACACACCCCGCTTGAAAACAAGTGTTAGCACAGGTAACTGGGGAATGTGAAGATTCTTCCCCAGTTCACCCCCACTTCCACCGGCTCGAATTTCAGGCCGTGAGCTTCTTGGGGCAGTGGCACAGCTGTGTTCACACAGTCTGTAAAGTGCCCTGTTGCTATATAAACAAATGACAGATGCCCCCTTCCTGACAGGTCAGAGCTGGACAGGGTGGCCCAAGGCCACAAGCCCAGCTCACCTTTGCTTCTGGGGGCTGCTACAGCAGCATTTCAAGCAGCAGCCTGCTCCACAAAATACTGGTAGCATTTATTGAGAGTCATCGTCCAGCACAAAAATTTTCTTTAGAATAAAAGCAACTCAAATGACTGCACATGCTTACCCTCGTGAACAGCTTGACACACAACTGCTGGCATCAGACTCCTTACCTCCATGTGCCCGCTGCTGGCACAGAGAAAGCAGACCACTCTGGGAGTTATCGGCACCGAGGTCAGAATACCCAGACCGCCCATCTCCCAAACGTTCTCGGATTCACAGTCCTCCTAAAAATCATTAAAGAGGGAGCACATGAGAAGGGAAGAACTCTGGTGCTGGATCCCGCTAAGGCAGGAATTTGGGCAACCAAGCAGCATGATACAGATCCTGGAAACCAGTCACTGAATGGCTCCCACCCCTTGGGCTGCACTGAATCAAGGAGCCTTTGCACTCCCATGGACTCCTCCTGAGGATGGTCAAAGGTGCCTGCCAAAGGATTCCCTGAAAGGGAGGAGCATTTCCCCAACACTCAAGCCTCTCCTTGGGCATTAAAGGTCACCACGGACTTCGGTAACTCTCAGCACAGTTGGCCTCTAGGGAAAGACCTCTGCCTCCGGCAAGCACCAAGAGGTGGGCTCACGGTAGAGGAAAGAACACACAGCACCCAAGTTGCCCTCTCACCTTGAAGTCTACTCGGATCCTGTGGACTCCATCCGTCAGAGGCTTCTGTTTGGAACAGCTACCATTTGACAGAGTGTTTAACATGTTGAGTGTGCTGTTTTCAGGCTTGTTGAGTGCAGGGGGCTTTTCCTGGAGAATTAAAGCATTTTGTAAACCCCGAATTCCACACTCAGGATCCCAAAAGAAGCTGAATTAAACACATCTTTAATTATTTGTATCCCGAACCAGAAAAGAACTCTAATTGATTTTCAAAGTGTGAAAGAAACCTAGTAAGCAACAACCAGCAAGAGTCAGAGTGCTCATGGTAGAGTTTGCAAAGCAGAACTCATTTCAGCAGTTACCTTTCCCTATTAGTAACACATGCTGCTCCTTAGTGCCAAAAAACCACGTATCTTGTTGATCCTGAAGTCTGGACAAAACGCCTGAAGTCTGGGGAGGGGCAAAAGGCTTAGTGGAGGAACATCTGCTTGCCATGCACAAGGTCCCCTGCAGCATCTTCAGTTAAAGGGTCAGGTGGGAGGTGATGGGAAAGACCCCTCTGCCTGAGGCGCCAGAGAGTTGCTGCCCCCCCCATCCCAGTAGGCAATGGTGACAGACCAACGGCCCGCATCCAGTGTAAGTTTTAATGGAATTTTAATGTATTTTTATATATGTTGTTAGCCGCCCTGAGCCTGCCGAATGGCGGGGAGAGCGGGATATAAATGTAAATATAAATAAATAAAAAATAAATAAGGCAGCTCCCTGTCCTCAAGCCACACGGACACACGGCGTGAGAGGCTGAAGCCCCAACCTGCCCACTGGGAAGGGAAGAGCTGGGAGCCACAGCAAAAGCAGCCCACCCACAGTGGCAAGAGCAGAGAGTGAGGCGGAATCTGTGACACGTGCGTGGGCTCTTTAAACATGAGCAAATCTTCTTGGAAGCACCCAACCATGAAAAAAACTGGAGACAAAATTCAAAAAGCAGGTTACCTTTTCCTTCGGCTTCTGTTTCACTGGTAAGCTCGGACGAGGAGTGATTTTCTTTTGCTTGTTTTGCTCTATGCCTAGGAAAAAGACAAGCACACCTTGTCGTAACCGAACAAACCAAGAAGAATTTGGGGCTTGAGGGAAGATCAGGTTCTAGGGACACTGCCCAGACTCAGGTCGCCTAGGGTGGCTACTAGATCAGGGCTTCCAGAGGAAAGTGCAAATCCCCTCTTCTGTAGCATGTAGCGCTTCCTCCAAAGACGTGATTTGCCCACAGTTATGCACACGTGGATTATATCAAAGCTGGACTACTACAATGCACTCTACATGGGGCTGCCTTGAACACTATCGAGAAACGTCTGTGGCACATTGTCCCTGACAAGGCAATTCTATTTGCACTCTTAGGACCTAAACTGGAAGGTACATAATATTTCCAGTTCATAAAACAACTTCTGACACAAGGCCAGATATATTTGTGGCCCCAAATAGAAACTTTTTGGTGTGTCATTCAATTCCATATTGGAACATTCCAATTTTGGTTCTATTCTATTTATTTATTTTTTATTTATTGTTAATTGCCTTACATGTGTTACAGGGACTCTCTTGCTTGTTATATTTTGCACTATTTGACCTCTGAAGAAGGCATTTGTGAGCCGAAACATGTCAGGTCATACACTGTTCTCTTTTGTGTGTATTTGTAACTGTACATTTTATGAGGCTTTTTTGTACACTTACTTATGTTTTTAACTTTTGGTCCTCAATTAGTTTTCTAAACTTCCTTTGGAAGTTTCAGAATGTGGTGGGACCAGGCTGCTGCCAGACGTCTCTTCCTGGCTCTAAGGGTTCTACAACGGCTGCAGTTTGCTCCCAAGGGCATAATCGAAGGAAAAGGATGACCCTACAAAGTCCTGCCTGGCCTATGACCAGGATGCCTGAAGGACTGCCGTCTCCTGGACAAATCAGCAGAGATCATCAGAGGCCCTGCTGGGGCAGTGAGCGAGCATCAGAGACAGGGACTGCCCCACTGTGGGGAGGAGGAGAGTCCCTTTCCACTGAGGTTCCCCTGCTGCCAAACTTACTATGATTTAGGCAAGGAGTTTAAAATTAACTTTAATCAACTGCTCCCTACATGGTATTACTTGAGATTGTTTTGTTCCCCGTCTTATCTGAGCTTCCTGCCAGTTTTTCTTCAGCCATCCTGGCCACTTGTTTTCATTCCCACTTTTTATTCTATTTTCATTATGGCAGGCTTGATGACGCTTTTAGTGTGTTGAAGAGGACTGCTTGTATCCTCTACTATCATTGCTGATTTTATGCATGCTGTTTCTGTCCTTTTCCATGTTTTATTGTGGCCGACGCAGGCTTCTGAGTGGCCCCAATGCTGCTGCTGCTGAGAGTGGGGGATCTGAAGGCTCGTAATAAGTCAACCGCAAGCGGAGTATCTGGCCCAAGGGACAGGCCCCACCCGCGAAGATTCCCTGCTTCCCTGCCCTGATCTCCCTCGAGGGACGGCTGACCGGTGCCCCGGGCTCTGCCCCACTTACCAACTGTGAGCATGGCCACCTCTCCCTCCCCCCCCCCACTGCCAAGCAGCAGGTGCCTGCCCGCGAGAGGCTGCCGACAGCGTCTGATGCACATGAGTACCTACCTGCCTCTGGTGGCAGAGCGGGCTTCTTCTTGGGCTCCGCAGGGATGCTTTTAGGGGCTTCCCTCCTTGGTGGGCACGAACTAGGTGGTGGTGGGGAGGGCGCCGGCACTTGCTTTCCGGCTTTCCTGGCAGCAGGCGGAGGGGCCTGTCTGTGGTCTGGTGGGGCTGGTGGGGGCCCCTCCTCGCTCTTCTCCTCACTGGGCTTCCGGGCAGGCTCGCTGCCTCTCTTTGCGGGGTGCTCCTCTCTGGCCAGGACGGGCTGTGGGGCCGCTTTCTGCCCAGACTCCGACTGGCTCTTCCCAGCATGGCTCTCTTTCTTGTCGCTGGACTTGGACTTCTTCTCTTTCTTCTTCACAGCTGCAAAGCAAAAGGAGCCCTTCAGCCAGGATGCTGCTGGGCGGTGCCTCCCCCACTGCGGCAACAGCTGAACAGCCAAGGCCCTCATACTAAGAATAATAAGAGCAGCCAGCGGTACCTGCATGGCGACACCACACCACCCGAAACTGCTCTGAGACGCCACCGCCATCTATGCCGACAGCACTTTATACATATATAAATCTGATGATTGTTCGAATTTTAGATCATTGCAACGTTGATGCATCTACGTTTTTATTGTATTTAATCCACTGTATTTTAGCCTGTCGTGAGCCGCCCTGAGCCTGCCATGCGGGGCGGGCGGAACAGAGATCGAACATAATAAATAAATATAACCGCGCTCAGCACGGGGCTGGTGCCTTGTGCCCAGGCCCTAGGACCAGGCCTTCCCCCATCCCTTCCCAGCAGGGATCCCTACCTTTGGCTTGCTTCTGCAGATAGGCTTTCGAGGGCATCCACTGCAGATTCTGACACTTCCTCATCCTAGGAGGAAAAGAAAAGGCGGGGGGAGTAAGCCAGAGGAGGCACCAAGAAGGCTCACCCACCATCACAAGCCTTTGGCATTCCCGCTCTAGCCCTGCAGGCGTCTTTCGGACTGCCAGGAGGCCTCCATGCTGCCTGAAGGCTTGGAAGCAGGGACACTGGAGGCTTCCAGCCACGCCAGGGTCCCCTCGGAAAGCCTTTCCAGATCGATCTGGGCAGTGACAGAACAGGGACCGTCACCTGCAGCAGGGATGGGCTACGGCGTCTGCCCTGCCCTGCCCTGCCCTGAAAGGGTGCTGTGGGAGCTCAGCTGCTCACTCCCGGCCGGAGTGGCCACGGCCGGCCTGCCTCCTGGCTCTGAGGGCCGGAACCTTGGCCTGCAGCTCAGCCAAGTGGCACGAGGCTCCTGTGCGGGTGGAGGCCCACTCACAGCAGAGGCCGCGTTGCCCACAGCTGCACTTTAGAAAGACGTTTCAAAGGAAGGAGACTCTCTAAAGCCTGGAAGGAGGAAACGGCCCCGAGGGCAGGGTGAGGAGGAAGCCCCCCACCCCCCCCCACCGCCCGGTCCTTCCTTCCAGCCTGGCAGAGTCTCCTGCCGCTTTCCAAGTCACGGGCTGCCCCTCCCGGCTCCCTAGGAGGGGACACACCCAGGTCAGGCTCACTGTGTGACTCCAGGCTTAGAATCCTTGCCTCTTATTGGACAGACCATCAGAGGATCTCTCCCAGGCTAAAAAGCAGAGCGCCTCCCCCCCCCCCCAATCCCATCGGCTCGGGAGACCATCGCCCTGTACTCCAAGCTGGTGGCCCCACACACTTACTTGCAGCACTGTTTTTTAATGTTACGCCCCCCAAACTTTGGCTTATCCAGGCAATTGGTACAGACACCGCAGTCCTCCGGCACCTGGCAGCCCGGACACTGCCCACAGCGCCTTGAGCGCCGGCCTTTCTTTACGGGAGGTTCTGGGGGGGGCTTGTGCCTGGTCACGGGCTTGATGGGCTTGATGGGCGGCACCTGGGGCTCGGCCTCTTCCGAACCAGCAACGGAGGACTTGTCTGTTAAATGAAACGTCAGCTGTGAATTCAGCAGCCAATAAGAGAGAAGAACTTAAATGTGCTGCACTTCCCCCCCACAAGTGCCTCTCGGGATTCTCCTACAAGGGGATTAACTGACGCCATTTGAAGCCTGCCTTTCTCACCAAGACTCAAAGCAGATTACAACATTTTGAAAAAGCAGAGAGCCCGTCCAGACTTGCTAATAGCACGGCCCCGTGGCCCCCGTCTCTTCTGCCTCGACTGCCCCCCACTGCAGCCAGGCATTTACCGTCGTTCCCCATGGAAGACAGGATCTTCTCCCTCTCTTCCCACGGTAAGGCACTCAGGGTGGGCATGTCGTCCGGGAAGACCGCTCGCTTGCGCCCAAGTGCGACGGCTGCTCTCCTGCAGACATGCTTGATGCGCGGCCCTCTCACCGAGGCCTCTGATGAATCACTCTCTTGACCCTAAATTTCAAGGAGGCAGGAACACAGGAATCAGCCACGGAAACCTCTCTCGGGCGCGCTCAGGGGCAACGAAGCATCCTATGTGGGTCGAAAGCCAGCTGCAATGCAGAAACTATAGCTTTCCGCACCTTCCCAGTTTCAAAGTGAAACTATCTTTTCACAGTGGGAACAGACAGTTTTTAAAAGCAAGGTTAGTTCTGTAAAAGATTCCAAAAAAATTGCCATTCAACCTTCACCTGCAAAGGAATCTGTCTTCAGCTTCCCACGTAAATTGTATCTAACGTCTGGCTAAGCACTTGTCTGTGACCTCTGAATGCGATGGGCACTAGAAAAACGTCAGAGAGACTGAAAATACTTATTGATAGTCTCAGGCATGCAGTCCCAAGTGGGAAGGGGTGCCTTCAATTTGGGAATGACAGGCACTGCTAAGGGGTGGGGTGGGGGAGCTGCCACATTCAGGGCCCAGCTTATTGGAGGAGCCGCATCCCACACCTCCGTAGCCAGCCCCCCCCCTCAGCTGAGCCATGTGACCTGGGCTGGCCCCTGGAGCAGCCCTCAGCCAGCAGCTGGCTCAGTGGATAGACAACCCCCAGGCAGCGAGAGCAGGTGGCCCTGGGGACCTCGCAGGCACAGCCTCTGAAATTCAGGGACATCCATTTTTTTTTTGTTCAATCTTTCACTATTGGAGGGGGCTAGTCCTATACGGAGGTTCATCGACTTTGGGGGCAAACAGAATAGTTGTTCTGCACAAGACAACTGGAAGCACGCAGAGAAAGAAAACTCCCACCGGCGATTCAAAAGGGAAGGGCCATTTCTCCCCTCTGCTTTGCTACCACAGCCATCTCCTCCTTTTCAAAAAAAACCCTCCCCCCCCCGTGGGAGTACCTGTCCCTTTGGCTGGTCCACCTGCTTGAGAGACTTGATCTTCTCGATCTTGCACAGCTGGGCCTTCGCCTTCTTGAGGAGGCTGGCCACCCTCTTGTCCGTCATCGGCATCTTGTCTGCATGGGCCAGCACGGAGCTGATGGAGGAAGCTGCGGGCAGCCTGAGCCCGTCTTCCTTCCCCGCTGCGGGGGCTGGAAGGCCGAGGTCCAGGCTGGCCTTCTCCAGCCCTCCCCGGCCTCTCTTGGCCATCTTGGTCTTGATGGCCGTTGCCGAGTCCACCAGCACCACGGCAGGCCCATCGGCCACGAGGTCAGTGCCTGTCGACTTCTTGCGCCCCACGGCCTTTTTGGCAGAGGAGGAGATGGCGGGGTCTTCGCTGACAGCCACTCTCCCTTTGGAAACGCGAGCCCCCGGGAACAGAGCGGAGCTGCTCTGGATTTCGGGAGCCTTCCTCCTCTTCTCCTTCCGCGACTCGCGCTTGTTTTCTTTCTCCCTCTCTCTGTCTCTCTCCCGGCTCTTCTCCTTCTCCACACTCCGGTCGCTTTCCTTGCCCTTGGAGGGCTCCTCTGAGGCTCTGTCTTTGTTCCTCCCCCTCTCCGTGTGGGAGCTGGGTGGGAACCAGGGGAAGAGGGGAGCGGGGCTGCTGGACGAGAAGGGCTCGGCGGGGACCCCCGGCTGCTTCCTTGGTCGCTGACTCTTCTCTACCGATTCCCCAGGCTGGGAAAGGGAATGGGTAGGGAAAGTGAAGCTGGCGTTTAAGGCACTGGTGGTCAAGGAACCGACAGAAATGCTTGCAAGCGACGAAGGGACGGACGATGGGGACGGGTGAGCCGGCAGCTCCGAGGCGCTCAGCCGCCCGCTTCTCGTCCGCATGGAGTGTGATGGAGATCTGGGCTCAGGTCGAATTGGGCTGAACACCCTCCTCTTCCGCTTCCTCAAAGAGACGGACGTTGCAGCGGCTCCTCCGGCAGCTCGACTAACAGACGAGGGTAAGGTTACGGACTCAAAGATGCGTGAGTGGGCCTCGCTTGGAGTGAATCTTGGGGCTCGCAACAGAGGGCTCCTCTTGTGGAGATCAAACCTTGTCCCGGAGTGCAGAGGAGAAAATAAGCGCGTCGGAGCTGGGGCACCGGGAGCTGAGAAGCCAGAGGCAAAGCCAACATCCTCCGGGGTCAGCGGAGGAGGCCGGAAGTTATCAAATATGGGTTTGCGGATGAGACCTTCTTTGGCGTATTTTGCTGAGGAAAAGTACTGAGGTTCAGACCTAGAATGCTTGAGAGAGGTCCACCGGAAAGTCGGCTCACGAAGGATGGACTTCCGTTTCTCTTGCATGGGTGCAGCGGAGGACGGCAGAAAGGGTGATGCCAAAGGAATGGTGGGGGGCATGAGCCATGGGGCGTGCTCAGAGACGCTGGCTGCTGGCTGGAGGGGAGGGGGAGGGGTGAGGAGCGGTGGGGGGGGAGAGGCAGAGGAGGGCTGCTGCTGCGAGAGGCTCTGGAGGCTGGGCAGCTTCTTAGCAATTTTGGGCCCAAAACTTCGCTCTGCCACTGAAAACCTCCTCCTCCTCCTCCTCTCACCACCCTCATTCTCAGGAGACTGGGAGACAGGCAACGAAGAGGGAACGACCTCCGGAGTATTGCTGCACTCTTCAGAAAGCGCCTGCATCTCTTCAGAAGCCTGAGAATCGGTGGATGTATCGACACTGGGGCTGCTGGACCGGGAGGAATCTGAAGACATCTGTGAGGAGTGATGAGAGGCACCACTGGACTTCTCACTGGACCCACAGGAGGTAGCACTGAACCGGCTGTTGGGTGTAGACTCCAGGCGGGCTATCTTGATGGGTGGGTCATAGTCTTCATCTTCAATGAAGCGCTTGGGAGTTTTAATGATCCGGGAAGAGATTGCACTCACCACTGGCATGATGAACTGGCGGATGTTCTTCAGCTGAGTTCTTGCCTTCCGGCCCTGCAGCTTGGCCGCTTCTTTCTCAATCTTCTTCTGGGCCCCCTTTTTCGCCTTCTGCAAGAGTTGCTTGGCAATGGTGGCGTCTGTCCTCTTGGAGGAAGGAATGATCCGCACTGGCTTGATCCTGCGGGGGCTCTGCCTGACCGCAGGCTTGTCTTCTTTGGGGAGCAGTGGCACGCCATCTTTCTCCTTCCTGATCCTCTGGGCTTTCTCCAGCTGGGAACTCTCTGCTGTT